TATTTGTAATACTTCATACATGTATGCATTAAGCATTTATTTTTTATTTAATTCCTTATTGTAACGCATTTTGGTCATCATCTCTTATGTGTGGGTCATTTTTGACTTTAATAATCTTAAAGAATTATTTGTATATAGGCACGACGAAAACGTTTAGCCAAGTTTCATCTGAAAACGATTTGGTTAACTCATTTCGTATATATCAAGATAATTTATTTACAAGAAGCATGCTATTACTATGTGCATCTATGATAGGGAGGAACCTCGGCAAAAACATATACTATTTAAAATACTTAATTAAATATGTAAATGCTATATACCAATCATTTTATCCGAAAATTAAAACCCACGTTTTCAGTTAGTTCGTTTACCAATACAATAAACGAATTTATTGTATGTCGTCAAAAATTGGTCACGAGACACTTGATTGACAGGTATAGTTTTCTATATAATTGATTTTTCTACAATTTTTGGGTTAGTAAGAAGCGCACTCGATCATAATGGGGTAAGACTATTTTATTGAATGAATTTAATGCGAAGTTTTTTAACTATAATTTTCATATATAATGTATTAACCCCACGGAACAAAATTTAAAGCAACAGTGTATGTATATTTGCTATTGAGAAACATTATTTGAGCCAAACCGCTTGTCTCATACATACTTATCGTCGGTGTGTTGATATTGAAATAAATTTAATCCCTGAAATCATTCAAACTTCGTAAAATAGTCATTCAAAAATTCGAGCATGATGGTCGTAACTAAAACAACAAAATAATTGAGGATTTAATTTATCGTAACGTCAATCTGTGAAGGTCGTAACTCTTAAAAAAGGTGTTTTTTTATTATATGAATATATCATATGATATATTTGTAATTTTGTTTTACATACAACGTATAATAAAGCAATTTTGTTCCGTGTAACACTTATCAACTCAAAATTTTAAAAAGTTTTTAAATCATAGTTTTTAAAAAAAATCTTTTAAATAGTCCTTTGGTTGAAGCTACAATTTTAATCCTATATGGCAATGTCTTTGAGAACATACATTATAGGACTTTAATTTGAATTATGCAAAAGTCACTAAAAACATATAGTGTTTATTCGGACTAAGTCTTAATCATAAAATAAATATTAATGTTTGGATTGTTGAATACTAATGATGGCACCAAGAGGCGGATCAAGCCATTTTAAAAGAAGTTGTCAACCAAGAATAAAGAAGGGCGTCTAGCCGTATGTCCCTATCTAAATGCACTGATCGTAAATAAAAGGGGTTCCAACTTCCAGAACCCCTCCCCCAAAAATGGGGGTTCCTACGTATGCAATCTGTATTTTTGTATGTCAAGCGTGTCCGGTCGTCGGGTTTCTAATCCAGTCACACCGATCCCTCAATTTGTTCGAATACGAATGTTTGTCTGATATATAAGAAGATGTGGTATGAGTGTCAATGAGACAACTCTCTATCCAAGAGCGCATTTCTTTCTAACCTAAATGTTGTAAACGTTGTGTGGCGTTTAATGTCGTTTGCTAAACGCTACAAAAGTAGAAACAAATACATTGTTTAATCATTGTTTACTGAGCCTGTTTGAACTTTCAAAAATGCATGCACATGTTGTTGGTGAACAGACTTACTACGCGGTTATTTTTAAATACCGCCGGGTTCCTTCAATCAACATAGTAATAAATCTCAAGACTTTACACCGATTTTTCTATTTCATATGACTTGTATGAATGTTTGTTGCCTATTATTAAGATTATTACTAACAGTGTTTCGGAATTTTTTGCTAATACTGTAAATTAAGCATGGGTCCCTTTTCAAAAGTCTCCCAACTATTGCCTTTATTTAGCAAGTTATTCTTTTATATTTTTGTTACGTTTATACAATATGATTGACACTAGGGCGAAGATTTCACTGAATTGTTTGTCTTTTTGCAGATTGTTCCAATGTTTTCTTATAATTTTACTAAAATTCAAGGTTGAAATTAGAAAAAAATGTCGCGTTTGTACTAACAAACGATGAACGACAAACTGTAGACGCATTTTAAGCGAGTGCATAGTTTGTCAAGGTTTATGTAAACTTTTCAAACGTATGTAAGAAACAAATTATCAAAATATGTGCGTACTTAGCCGTTTGCATCGTCTGTGTTAGAAAGAAATGCACTCCAAGTCACAATTTATAAAAGCAAACCATTAGAGGTCAAAGTACGGTCTTCAACACGGAGCCTTGGTTTTATTAAACCTTAATTTTTTAAATGTGTTAATGATTACCTTCATTAAACTGATACATGTAGGTACTTTGGGTCATACTAATTGCGTTATCTTCAGCCTCTTCTAACAAATACAACGCCTGACTCAAATAGTCGTCCGTCTTATACCCGTCCATATTGACAACTGCTTACAATGATCATGATGTACATTTTTGTATTAAGAATGCACGATCTAAACTGTTATATTAGCACATGGATTTAACGGGAATATGAAAAACAGCAACTTTGACATTTGTAAAATCTACTCACTTGTCAGAGTTTGAATAAAGATGTCAACGAAGGTTACCAGTGAGGTTTCATTTAATTTTTTTTTTTAATTAATCATGGTTTGATATTGTCAATGAAAATGTTATTAGTTCTGTTTCATTTAATATTCAATATAAACCAATATTGGATTTAGCATCGGGTGTAAATTAGTGATACACTTAAGGATACGGCGTGTCTGAATAAAAGCACGTCCTGCCTCCGTCCGTCGGGGTTTCTTATCCAGGCACACCTATCCCTTAGTACTGCTGTACCCCTATTTTTGAAATGATTCCATAATATTTGGTTTTTTTTCACACACCGTTGTTAATTTAATGTAATTTTTTGCGATTGTCATACACAGAGGTTTAGCTAGATATAAAACTAGGTTTAATCTACCATTTTCTACATAAGAAAATGCCTGTACCAAATCAGAAATGTAACAGTTGTTATCCATTGCTTTTAAGTGTTTGAGCTTTTGTTTTTTTGCTATTTGCCTAGGGACTTTCCGTTAAGAATTTTCCTTGGAGTTCGGTATTTTTGTTATTTTATTTTTCTCATTAAAACCATTGACTAGCCAGTTACTTTCAGATGTTGGGTTGTGCTATTTTGTGGGAGAAAGGGTTGAATTAATATATATCGGTCATTGTTTCTAATTATACAATCATACATTTCAGAAAAACGAGTCTAACGACAACATCATCCACTATAACAGTGTCATGGGGCAATAGGTTTGGTAAAGGTACCAAAAATGACAAAATCAATAGTTTTGATATTAAATTCAGAGATTCGAATTCGGGATTGTTTAATGCTGTACAAGCATTAAAAGACGACACTAGTATTGAAATAGATGACCTCAAGTCCAGCACTGAATACCTAGTCAATGTTTACGTATGTTATGAAGACGGAAAAATTATGCAATTTTTTCCAGGGGAATGTATGACAAAGGAATCTAAGACAAGTTTCCTCATGCAGAAAGCATTAGCAGACAGAACTCAAAAGCCTAATTTCTTCCACCTGCAACCAGTGAACACAGACATACATCCATTACAACACGTCAAAAACGAAGAAAATGATACGCCTGTTATTGATTGAATTCGAATTTGTGATATGAGTAAGTTTCTTGAAGATTGATTGAAATGCAAATATTTGTTTTACACATTTAAATGTTTTATTTTAATAGCTCCTGTATACAATTACCTTAGTCGTCCAGGTAACAGGCTAAGGGTCCCTGTTTACAAAATGAATCCAGGGGTAATAGACGGCTAAAAATATAGTCCACTTTTTACCTTGGATTTACAATTAGTTTCAAAAATATATCCCCATAATGTTAGAAGCATCGAACAGTTCTATGTCTTAATTTCAAAATATAAAGTAATTAATAAAATACCTATACAAAATTTTAATATGTGCATTTACTACAATAAATATGATAGGCCAACACTTTTTTTTATTATCATTTTTATGTATGAATATATCGATGAAATCGACTTCTTATACAATAAATTATATTTTATTTTAATTCAAACTATTACTAAATTTACTGTCTATTTTTTTTCTTAATCAATGACTTTAATTTGGTCTTATCGATGATGTCAATGCCTTTCAATTGAAGATCAAAGTTTACATTATTTTTCAAGTTATGTCATGAATAAACTGCAATTAACAATTGAACTTGCACTTTATGAACTAATGAGAGGTGTCATAAACTATTATGGATTTGTTTTTATCTGTTTTATTGGAACTAACATGGATTTTTTTTTGACAGTTTAATACATATCCAAAATTGTATTTCTTTCAAGTTATTAACAATTGACCTCGTGTCGCCATCCTTCCCAACAGACATTAGACGTTGTATATACGTCATTTAGACGTTGGACCCTGACGTTGCACCTACGTTATATTTTGGTTGTATATGATATTTTTTAGACGTCAAAATCTGACGTCCAGCCGACGTCGTGAAAAACGTCTATCCAACGTCAAAACCTTCATTTTAACTCTTTAAATATACTCTGATGTCAGTACGACGTCTATTCAACGTAATAACAACCACCTATAAACCTCTTTAAATATGCTCAGATGTCAGTACAATGTCTATTCAACGTAATAACAACCGCCAATAAACCTCTCTAAATATGCTCAGATGTCCGTACAACGTCTATATAACGTAATAACAACCACCATTAAACCTCTTAAATATGCTCAGATGTCTTCACATCATTCTTAAATAGTAAAGTACTGATCAAAGTACTTAAGTTGGTCAAGAAGGGGTCAATCAAACATAATTCAAACTAGTAAACGTCCTGAATAAGTGCTTGAACATCAGAAAATCGTTCTATATATCAAATTCTGGAAACCTTATGCTGAGTGCTTGTGAACATGTCACCACAACTACCTTGTACAACAATCTGATGTTATACATATATACAAAAAATAATCAAAAATCAAAAACATATGCATATTTAATATGGGATTTTTTAAACATTTAAAACATCATTGTCTATCATCAGCTCCATCTCTATTATTGGCATCTCCATTTCCATTATTGTCCGCTCCATTTGCATTGTTGGCCTCTCCATTTCCATTGTTGGCCGCTACTATTCCTGCTGCTGCATCAGCTTTTTTCTTACGCCCACCTCCTCCCATTCTGTCAGGTGCATACTTCAGGTATGCTGCAGTCACCTGAAGAATGTTATGTTCAGTTACTGGAAACAGATTCTTGGCAGTTTGTGGAATAAAAAAAATAATTTTTTTGTAGAACCAGACAGTGTTAAAATCAAGAATTAGTCAATTTTCATCCATATGACACATATAAGGTAAACATTCAAAATAATCTTGAAACAACTTCATATTTTTTCTCTATATTTAAAAAATTATGAATTAAATAAATCAAAGCTTTAAAATAAACCAATTTGTCTATTTCTTGCTCAAGGGTTGAAAAAATCTCATTTCTTTTAAACTTTAATAGCACAGAGACATGTTTTATTTTTTATTTTTTTTAAATTACCCAAAATCACAACTAGAGGCTCTCAAGAGCCTGTGTCGCTCACCTGTATTTACTGATGCTTTGGAAATCATGTAAAATAAGGTTAAAATCATAATTCATAGTATTAGATATTAGATATTATAATGATATCTAAGATAATAACAAAAAACTGCAGAATTTCTGTAAAATTACTAACTCAGGGGCAGCAACCCAACAACGGGTTGTTGGATTCGTCTGAAAATTTCAGGGCAGATAAATCTAAATCTGATGAACATTTTTTCCAACCTGTCAGATTTGCTCTAAATGCTTTAGTTTCAGAGATATAAACCAAAAACTGCATTTTACTCCTATGTTCTATTTTTAACCATGTCGGCCATGATGGTTGGAAGGCGGGGTCATCGGACAAATTTTTTTAAACTAGATACCCTAATAATGATTAAGGCCAAGTATGGTTAAATTTGTCTCAGTAGTTTCAGAGAAGAAGATTTTTGTAAAAGATTACAAAAATTTACGAAAAATTGTTAAAAATTGACTATAAAGGGCAATAACTCCTAAAGTCGACTGACAATTGTGGTCATGACGACTTATTTGTAGATCTTACTTTGCTGAACATTATTGCTGTTTACAGTTTATTTCTATTTATAATAATATTCAAGATAATAACCAAAAACTGCAAAATTTCCTTAAAATTACCAATTCAGGGGCAGCAACCCAACAACGGGTTGTCAGATTTGTCTGAGAATGTCAAGGCAGATAGATCTTGACCTGATAAGCAGTTTTACCCTATGACAGATTTACTTTAAATGCTTTGGTTTCAGAGATATAAGCCAAAATCTACATTTTACCCCTATGTTCTATTTTTAGCCATGGCGGCCATTTTGGGTGGTTGGCGGGGTCATCAGACACATTTTTTAAACAACATACCCTAATGATGATTGTGGCCAAGTTTGGTTAAATTTGGCCCAGTGGTTTTATAGAAGATTTTTATAAAAGCTAACGACGACGGACGACGGATGCCAAGTGATGAGAAAAGCTCAATGGCAATGCAATTCCAAAACTGTATTGACACTGCTTAAAAGAATATTAAAGAAGCAAATAAATTACCTACCCACAATAACCTTGCATATTTCTGTGGATTCAAAATTTAATTTTCCACGGTTTCCCTTCATGTTGTATTTTGCCATGAGTTCATTGGACATTACTCTGTAATGATAAATATATGTCAGAAAAGGAAGAAAACCTTTTTTGAAATGTCAACAAATTTTTCAATTGAAAAAAAGTCAGAAAATTTTATGAAATACATAAGAACTCTTATTTCATTCACAAACTTATTTTACTATTACAGGATTATAACAGTCACATGACAGTTTTGAATATTTAAACCTCATATCATTTAGTTGTTAATTCAGAAATACATGAAGCTGGTTTATGTTTCAATATTATAATTATGCAAGTTTTCTACAAAAAGGGTAAAATAGCACATAATGCCACAATCTAGTTTAGATATTGGTAAAATAAAAGTTTCACAAAAATAGAAGTTACCTTCGCAAAAATTTCTGGACATTGTCTTTATAATCACTGCCCCCTATCCTTTTCAGATGTTCTATCTGAAAAATAAATAAGTTATTACATACAAATTTATCATTATAGAGTGGCAATATATAGAACTCATGGAAAAGACAAATTTAGCAATATATCTTTTATAAAGAAACACTGCATCAACATAAATAGCAATAATTGTCACTTTTAACAATTGGTTAATTAAAAAGGATTTTTATTTATGTTAAATAATTAAAATGAAATCTTTAAATTCTATGACAACAATATAATATTTAAAGTTTTACCCTGGTCTTTTTTTCTTGGGGTCTCTTCAACAATTCATTTATATTGTTGAAGTCTTCTTCTGTGTCTGCCTTTGATGTTAATAAGTCAGGCAAAGGACATACACCTGCACCTACATTTTGTATAGGTCTCCCAGCCAGATCATTAAGCCCCGTCCTCAATTCCAATAAGAGTTGGAACACTTTTCTCTGAAATTCTAAAATTATCAAACAAGATTATTATTAAATCATAAATATAGCATACATTTAGTCAAATAAAAAAATACTTGTGTCAAGGATTTTTCCGTAAGGAAATATATGATGAGAAGGAATCTTTATTTAATTTTATGATGGATAAAATCATAACTGAATGAACAGTACTGAACTGTAACAAAAGCTTTATTTTAAAGATAAACTGCAAATGCATATTTAATTAAGAGTTAAAACATAGATTTATACAAAACCATACTTACTGGCCTCAGGCATGGGAAAGCCATCAGAACTTTTTTGTGCATTTTTACCGTCTCTCTGTCTTGATGCTGATGGGGTTTGTCCGTCATTCAGTCTAGCTGGAGTGCTGTCACTCTGTCTGGATTTCCGTCTTGACGTCAAGCTGGGTAGTCTGCTGTCCTTATGTCTTGACGTCATGCAGTCTCGTCTATTGTCTGACTGTCTCGACCTGTCTCGTTTTGACCTTGATCGGTCTCGTCTATTGTCCGTCTGTCTTGACCTTGATCGTGATCTGTCTCGTCTACTGTCCATCTGTCGTGACCTGTTTAGTGTCCTGTGTGTTTGTCTTGACCGAGATCTGGACCTGTCTAGTCTATAGTCTGACCGTCTTGACATAGATCTTGACCTATTTCTTCTTTCATCTGTCCGTCTTGACAGAGATCTTGATCTGTCTTGTCTATAGTCGGATTGTCTAGACATAGATCTTGACCTGTTTCCTCTTTCATCTGTCAGTCTCGACATAGATCTTGATCTGTCTCGTCCTTTGTCTGTCTTGACATAGATCTTGACCTTGATCTGTCTTGGCTATAGTCTGTCAGTCTTGAACATGACCTGACTCTCTCTCTTGACCTTGATCGATCTTGTCTGTTGTTGTCTGGTTTGTCAGTTTGTCTTGAATTTGACACGACTTTACTTCCACTCTCTCTTGACCTTGATCGATCTTGTCTGTTTTTGTCTGGTTTGTCAGTTTGTCTTGAATATGACATGACTTTACTTCCACTCTCTCTGGACTCGTGTGTTTTTTTCTGGTGCTGCTTTTCTCGGCGGTGGCGGTATTTGATAATCATCTAAAACAAAGAAAATGGTGCTTAAGGTAATCTAATGTATAATAGTTGAATCAATGGATGAATTACATAAGATTGTAATTCATTGATTGATTCAAGAAAGATAAGACTTTTTATACAAATAAATATATATATTACAGTTTATATTAAATTTTATAAACGATGTTGTCAAAATACTGTATTATACATGTTATAATACAAAAAAAGTACACCTTTAAGCTCAGAATTAGATTGAGATTTATTTTGTTCAAAAAATGTTTATTTTTATACCTTTTTGACTAGAACTATTACAGGCATTCTGTGACTTAGTTGTACTAGTCTTGGTCTGACTGCTGGAGCTATTACAGGCATTCTGTAACTTAGTTGTTCTAGTCTTGGTCTGACTGCTGGAGCTATTACAGGCATTCTGTGACTTAGTTGTACTAGTCTTGGTCTGACTGCTGGATCTATTACAGGCATTCTGTGACTCAGTTGTACTAGTTGTCTTACTGCTTGAACCAATTCTTTCATCATTTTCAGATTCTTTGGACATGTCTTATAATAGAAGATTGTATATTCTTATATTGCAACTATGTGTGTAATTACATTACTTGTTTTGCTTTTAACATTTTTATAAAATAATTTTAATTATAATTACACCTTATGTAAGAATCCTGGGTTTTGATTGGTTGATAGCCAGTGTATTTTTCACCAATTTACTTTTATCTAATGAATATCTTTCATTTTTAAACGCCGCCAGGGTATATGCAAAAGGATATGCCTTTTTACCCTCTCTGCTGTGGTATTTGCCAAAAAATACTCTATCCGACTGGACGCTTGTAACGTCACGATCATCAATGTGTTTTTGTACGTTAATAGTCGGTGTAATTAAACAGATATAGCATGTTCTTGAGGGGTGTTTGCAAAAAATACCTGTCTTGAGAATGAATTTCCCTCGCCTTGCGTCTTGCGAAATTTAACATTCTCTCGACTGGTATTTTTTGCAAATACCCCTCCTTAACATGATATATCTGTTCAAAATATATTTATGATAAATCCTAGTATTGACTGAATTGTCTGCTTTATAATAGACTGTTTTTTTCACATGAACAATAATGTAAACTTCTTACAATTGCTACATCAATGTAGAAGGTATTTGTTGTAGTCTCATCTGTAAAATTTTAAATTCACTATTTTTCTATGTTAGCCAATCATTCAAAATACAAAACCTTTTCTGTTAATTGACAATCTCATAAAATTATTCTTGAAAAACCATGATTTAAATGTTAATAAAATATATAATTTTACCCGTCACAAAATCTTTAAAGATCCTTTTGGTTTGCTTTCTTTTGTCAGTTTCCTCATATTCTTCTTCAATGCAGCTTTCCGCTGCTGATGTTAGATCAAAAGATTCACATACATCTTTACTGGCTGAAAAATATGTATAATGTATGAACATGTGTAGATATAATAATTCCATATAAGCTTAGGTTGAGAGAATGCAAAAAGTTGTATACATATAGCTATAGGTTGTTAAGAGACCAATATAACTACAAATCTAGTACAATATATATCGCCAGCTGATTCAATCAAAATGTACATGCTGAGCAATATATTCAATTATATGTAAATTCTAGATCTGCACAATCATAAAATTATCATGTAACACTTTATCCAGTACATAAACTATAAATATAAAGATACATGTTTGTAATACATACCAGATTTACATTTCACTTTCACCAGCTCAAAACGTCTCCAGCTATTTGCTGGTTTTGTCATAGCTTCGATACGCTTGTTGACATTTACTCCTGGTGGCCATTTCACCTCACTATTTTGCACCCAGCTGTATGGAAGAGCATCTTCCACTTCTTTCTGACCCTCCTTCCAAACTGCCAGGATCCTTTGAAAACCCCAAGGCAAACACAGTGCATATAATCTAAGACAAATGACGATATGCATGGAATGCCATGCTGAACAAGTGGTGTTACACCCATCTGATGGTTAACATAAGTTTGCGCTGAAAATAATTCGTCAGTTGTTTTTTCATGTAATTCGCAAGAGTACATTGTTACACGATTATTCTTCCAAAATCCTTTAATCACACACCTTTCGCATGATAAATACCCAGTGTGGCCTTTAATTTGTTTCAAAAATGCCCTTGCTGGTGCATCACATATAAATGCTCTCATTTCTACTTGAAATGTTTTGTCTTCAAAACTTACTCCTTGATTAGTTATTTCATCAAGTTCAGATAGAAAATCATCAAGAAACTCATGTAATGAACTGGGTTTTGAATTCCCTAAGTACAGGCTAACAATAAACGGCGAAAAATTTTCAAAGCTACATAAAATCGGCCAGAATTGCTTTCCTGATGATTAAATAAGGGCACACCATCAATATTTATATTCAAATAGATGTTTTGCAGATTATTTAAAGTACATGGAGGCAAGCCTTCAAGAATCTTAATCATTCCATTTTTTATTCCATAATAAATATACTGTCCACCACATTTTTCTTCAGAATCAACAGTTTTAGGGGTCTGTAGTAATGTGCGAGCATCTTTTGGGACTTGAAGACCTTCACTTTTCAAGACAACTAGCAGTTCATCTAAACAAGATCTTGTCAAATTATTTTTTGTTGACCAATCTACTATTTTTTCCTTCAATGACAAACTTGGCTCTTCGGTATCAGAAACATGGCCAATTTCTTGCTCCGAATCCGACGTGTCAACTTCCTCCACAAATCCAAAGTCTGATTCACCACTTGAATCAGTTTCAGTGGTATTCTCATCAGTACAAGGCTCATTTGCTTCCTCACTATTACATGAATGTTCTCCTCTCTCATTTCCTGATGAATTTTTTTCTTGACTTGAAATTACTGATGCATTTTCTTCATCTTCACTACTTGTACCAAGAGCCAATGCTCTAGCTTCAGCAGGGACCTTACGCCAACGTTTCAAGTTGAAGTTTGACATGGTCAACAAATCCTGAAAAAAATAAAACATGCACATGCAACAATAATTGTATGATCATTATATAGAGACTTCTCTTTTTATCCTATTTGGTTCATAATAAACATACATTTTTTTTAGTGACTCAAGCAGGGGACCTTAGTAACAATCTGCAAATTATATAAGAACAAGTCAGTCAAGTCCTCATTAAAAAAAAATTAACCAGTTAATATGTATTAGATACACCACAAGAGTGTTAGCCCGAGTAGGTGTATCTAATTTACACCCCAAGATAATTGATTGATGTAAAATGATTTCTATAATTAAAGAGAGAGGTCTTTAAGCAATTTTAATAGATACCTCAATAAAAATTACAGACGGACGGACCCACAGACCAGAAAACATAATGCCCCTCTACTATCGTAGGTGGGACATAAAAATATTTTTTACCAAATGACCTTAATTTTTTTACCGATCCTTTTTTAACACACATATTTTTTGTGTTGCAGTACTAAGAAAATCTGATAGTATTAGAAGTTAAATTCATGCACATGCAACATAAACATGTCTGATCAGGCAAAGGAATATAATAAATATATCATATGGATGAAACCTGGAGTGTCTAATTATAAACCTGGTCTGATATACATCTGGTGAAGTAAAATTGGGAAAAGCAATAAATGTCATTGCATGAAACTGAAAGTTATGTATAATAAACCATAATTTATTTCAATTGATATATTTAATCAGTCCACTTTCACACCTTACACTAGTCAAAATTATAATGACATCTTGTAATTGTAAGGCTATTTTTCATAATTAATATTATTTGGACGCTGTACATGTACGTACGGTGACCAAAACATTATAAAAAACAGCCTTACAAGACGTCATAATTATTTGGACTAAGGTTACACCTGCCTCATATTAACCATCAACTACAAGGGCTCTGTAAAACTAAAATGCTTTTTATCATCAAATTCACCCCCTTTTTTTTGTTGCTAAATTAGGTTTCATAAGCATGTATGCATACGTGTATGGTGACAGATGTGATGGATTGTTTTAGGTTAACAAATCTTAATAATTCTGATATAATGTCATATGGATTCAAATTTATAACCCCAAAAAGCCTTTAATAATATTCTAATTTCTATTCCCCCCAAAAAATATAATTCTATAATTACGAGGTCGGCGTGGGCATTTAACAGAGATTTTCAGGAAACTGTCAACTAAAATGTAAAGATGAAACTTTACGATTACAACACTAACCTTATATTTACTTCTAGTTGTTGATTAATCTTTGTCTTCGTTAATTTTTGTTGTTTTTCACGAGTACGCGCCTGTTTAAATCTAATGTTGGTTCCTATCGTAACAATTTGCATTGTGCTCAAGGAAGAAAATTACCGGGAACCAGACTATTAAATAATCTCTAAACAACACGCATAAAAAATATTTCTAATAATAATTATCCGTACATCAATATATCATAGTAAATTTTCCTTTTTAATTAATATTACACTTTTACGATTAGATTGAGTATACTACGCACATGAAAAATTATCTACAAAAATAATTTAAAGAGTATATTGAGTGGATTGCGTCAATCGTAACTACTCGGCCATTATTCTCGCGTGCAACCTGAAAGGCCGAGTAGTTCCGATTGATGATTCCGTGTTGGCAGTTGGAAGGGGGAGGGTGATTATGATCAATATGAAATTGAGATATAAAAATAAACACTAGAATATGGCATATATATTCGATGGAATATATATTGTTTTATGTAGAGGGATATATCTATTTCTTCTTAGGTCAATTATGTTTTGATAGGTACATCTATAGCAATTTGAAATAATACGTGCATAATTTGCACATGTGAATTTTTTTTTTTTTAGAATATTAAGACGACCGACATATGACCTATCCGACGTTGTGTTGACGTTGGATATGGTCGCGACCAAAAAGCAAGGTTGAATTGACGTCATTTTCCAACGT